GTTATGAGATGTGCTTTGTTTTTTTATCAGTTTCCTTCATGTTCTCATGACTTCGTGACAGTATGTCAGCTACTATTGCTGAATGAACTTTAAAATCAATCCATTAACAGCTCCATCCATTATTACTTCCAGAAACAATGCGCTGCTGTGTGACATCACTTTGGGGATGTAAACATGCAGAAATCTGATCGAGGTTGCATTGAATATGAATGAATAATTGTGCAAAAAATATAGGATTTTTTGCACAATCAGAATGGATTTAGTAGCAGTTGTGCAGCTATATTCTCTTTAAATTTACAAAAAAACATCCAGTCATATTTTGCAATAAGCTCTTCTAGAGTTTGTGAAATGAGCCGTTTCTAAAGTGTTGGTGTCCGTCATTACTCCAGCAAACAGTGCGCTGCTGTGTGACGTTAACGTTCCTCCTTGTGTTGCTTTGGGGACGTAAACGTTCACACACAAATCTCATTACGGTTTTTAATAATGTCATATTTAGCCAGTTGGTTAGCAGATGCCCTGACCTGATATCTTTATTGAAAAATTTATTAATCTAAATTTCGAACATGAAGTTTTTTAAGTTTTATGGTCACATTGTGAGACATGAAGCTGAAAACTAAAAGTGACAAGGCATTTATGTAGTTTAAAAACTACAAATCTGTATTTTTTTAAGTTGGATTTGCTCACCTGTTTGTATTCAGTGATGGGTATTTTTATACAACATTTTGTGATCTTACTTTCTTCACACTGAAAGTACTTGGGTCTTAATTCTGGGTCAAAGAACAGTTATCAATTAATTTTTAATTCCACTCGCAGGGTTTATTTGCTGCATATTCAAATCGTTGTCTTATTAACCTGCTCTCTCGTTATTAAACCCAGACCAATGGGAATTACTGTTTATTGCTAAAACGTCAAACTATTTTTACAAGAGAGAAAAAAAAACACCTACATAATTACGAAAGTGAAACAGGCAGATGCTTTTCTGTGTCAGAGCACAATGCTTTCTGTCGACAAAAGGAAGCTAATCCGTTGGTTTTGCTTAATAGGATGTTTCATGCAGATCTCAGTGAGCGTGCTCTGAGGTCTCCCCATCAGCTGCTGCGCTCCTTCCTTTGTTTTCATCTCTACCTGGAAGTCATCTTTAATTGAAGCTCTTGTTTTCATTTCCGCTCTTTGTTTTCTTTTTTAAATCTCTTCAATTTCACACGCCCCCATGTTTGCACCTTAATGACAGCTTAGGCGTTAACTGTATTTCCTGTAAAAACGTGTCATTTCCAGTCTGCTGCACTGTACCGACTGGCAGCGGCCCAGTGGCCTCTTCCTCTCTGGTCGTGACTTTCATGCCGTCTGCCTTTTGCTGCCACCCTGCTGGGCTCGTATCATGAGGCGAACCACCTCCAGTCGATGTACTCACGAACCTTCGGATCACCCGCCATTCCTCAGACGTATCTTGGACTCACAGGGGTCGTGACCCCTCCCTGCCAGGGCTGACGTATTCTCGTTTTTCGCCTCGCATCACTTCCTTTCCGAGGCCACGGCGATGCCTGGCTGAGACAATGCGATCATCGCTCCTCTGGCCGCTCAGCCGTGACAGATTGAAGCGCTGGGGTAAACAGATAGGGCTGCTACAACACAGCTTTTTGGTTACTCCAGTGGAGCGGTGCCGCGTTTCGCAGGGACAAGAGACGGCGCCACATGAGGGTTGAGACTGAGCGTGGGGATATTAATGCCTATTGACTCGAAGGTAATAGCTTTGCCGAGCCTCAGCCTCGAGGTTGCTCCAATTTAGTCTGCACTATAATAAGACCTGGACACCTTCGCAGCATCAGAAACTATCTCCTCATGATCATATATCACAATAAACATGCAATCGAACAACCCAGCTCATCCAAAGGAGACTGTCGCCTTTTATGTCCAACTATTTCTGTCCCACATTTCTAAATGTTGCTGCTGAGGCTTTCACAGCTTCGCACTCTAAGCTTGTTGGAGCTGCAAGTGTCTAAATTATCCATAACATGAGGCGGGAAGGAGAGAACAAGTGGCCAGGCAGAAACCCTGGGATACTGCCGATGCTCTTTCCTCTTTCCTCACTGCAAGCAAAGCTGCAGAGCAGACAGCGAGTGTGATGTGACTGAGTTCAGATTTTTGGGTGTTTTTACACCTGGTGTTCTGGTACACTTGGTTTTATTGGGGACCAAAACTACAACATTTGTTACATTTTCAGCTGGTGTTGTTCACTTTAACATTGCACTGTGTCAAAAGACCCAAACCCTATGGAAAACATGTTTCCTCCTTCCCTGTGGGGGCTCTGCACCAACAACCACTAAAGTAAACAACACAAAAACCTCTGAAGAAGACATGAATGCAACTTCCTTACAAGGGCCATTTCACCTGCAAATGGAAGATTCACGCCTTTGTTTTAGTTGAATTAACCCAGAAAACCCTCCAATATAGTCAGCTTCCTGCAGCTGGAGTGGTCTCAGGTCCGCTTGGCGTTCACAAACTGCACCAGAGTTCGCTTCAACTGAACTGAGACTTGCTTTTTCTAAGTTGGAAAAAAAAAAAAAAACAGACTCTCAGCAAATAAACAATTGGAATAAAGTGGACTGAACAGGGTTAATGTGAATACACCCTTATGCAACCCTTATTTTTACCAGAGTTCACTACAACCAAACCGAGACCCAGGCGAACTAGAGTTCATTTTTCGTCCAGACTTTCAAGGCAAACAAACTACCGTTTGTTTAAAGTGGACTAAATAGGGCTGGTGTGAACACAAAGTTGAGCCTCCCAGAGCAAAAACTGTCAAAAAGTGACAAAGTAGATGCTGGAAAACCGAAGAATCGAAATCAGCTCTCACTGACGTCATTGAGTGATGAAAATTACGTCAACTTGTTTGCAGTGAAACATCCCTCTGCCTTTTTGACACCAAGCCCGGGTCGAACTATTTCTGACAGAGCTCTGTGCGATGTGTCGTGTGATTGGTCGGACGTTTGTGGATGTGTTTTATATGGACAGCAACATTTTGCTTCAATTAATATGCTTACACTGTAATTTTTTTGTTTTGGTACAAATACTATTTAAGGAGCATTTAACCGACGCACCGTCTGGGCTTTCTCCCATTCACTTGGATTCCTCAATTAAAATTTCAACTTGGCCAATCAGCAAACAGAAGAAGTAGTTGTGATGTTGATTTTGTTTTATAATTGTAGTCTGTCTGTAGTTTCAGCATTGCCAGCAGGGGAAGTGAACAACGCCTCTGAGTTTGTGTTCTCACACTTCCAAATATTGAACGAGCATTAACGGCCATCTTGTTCAAAGCGGCACTTCTTTTTTTGCAGTGCAGCACCAATGTCTAAACGCATTTCAAACTTTATCGACTGGATAAAATTTAAAACCTCAACAGAGTCCGTGCCTTCAGAAAGCAATTGCTTATCATTACAATGTTCAAACAAATCTGAACCAGAAGTAGACAAGCTGAGCGCAAAGCACAGATGTATCATGGCTTCGAGGCCAAGAAAAAGAAAATATGTTCCTTTCTCTTGACCAATGTGCAAGAGAAACATATCAACTAAATGGCTGCTGTAAGGACTGATATGTACTATATAGTTAACATGTGAGACGATTGTGGTCAAACAATAGCCATGTCCTACTATGGCGTCTTTCACTAATGAACGAACAGGAAGAGTGCGTTTACCACGGAGGAGCTAATCAGTGTTTCAACAGCTTAATAAATTGTTACTACTAAAATTAATTAATTAAATTACAATTTTTGTGTGAATAACAAGGTTCTGGTGACAAGCAGAGAAAGTACATGTGGAAACAAACACGCAGGCTACATGTCCGTCTTAGCTAGCAGATAGAAGCTACATTAGCTAAGATAATTCTGCTAGTTCGGTAAATCTCACTGATATTTATCTTAGTATTACACAGAGGTGGGTAAAGTTCTCAAAAATAGTAGTCGAGAAATACTTTTGATGTACTTTATATTGTTTATAAGACCAGAATGAGACGAGAGCTAGCGCTAATGTGTGGCTCGTTTGTAGTCGTCATAGCAACCGTCACGACCGTTAGCAACGTACCTTCCAAGATGGCCGTCAGCTCCAGAGCGAGACCCGTTCAGCAGGCTAGCAAAGCTTGTCAAAAAGCTAAAAACTCCCGGATGGAAACTGCTGAGTTGGAAGAGGCTGTCTGCAGAAAGGTGTGGCGCTTTTATTTCATTTTTCTTTCAAGCAAAACGGAAGATGTGGGGAGGGAAGCTGCGTCCCCAGGTGGGCTGTGTGAAAGTTGTGCGCGAACACGAGACCGCGCGTCATCGCTTCGGGAGGAAGTACGTTGGAGCCCTGAGGGTCGAACCTGATGATATGTGGGAGAAGTAAAGCATTGGTTTCAGCTAAAAACACGCGGGACTCCACTGACTGGTTTGGCACCTGGTAGGAAAAAAAAAAAAAGATAATAAAGCAACACGGAGCAACTCCACACACACACTTGATTTTTCACCTGCAGCTTTAAGAGTCTGTGGGACGGTTATTTTTTAAAATATGATCCTCCTCGGTGGAGGAACTCCAGCTTTGAAGGTGATGGAGGGGGAGTCGGGTGGAGGCCGTGGGGGTGTGGGATTACGCACGTCTTACGCACGTCAACCTGTCTTCTGTGTGTGTTTTCTGCGCACCCCGCCGTCTGTGCATCGTATATATCCCGTAAAAAAAAAATTATAATAATAAGTGAAATCACTGTAAGAAGCGAGGATATTAGAGAAAAAGAATTAGGAGAAAAAACACTGCAGGCGGATAGTAGATACCTGGGGTGTAAATGTAGAGGCAGAATGCAACATGGATGCACAAATAATAGGCTAAACATTAAATATTGATGGAAAACAGCCACATGCGGCTGGATCTCCCATTGAGCAGTGCGGGGGCTGCAGGAATCAAAGGAGCGTCGCTGAAAGCAGAGCCGCGGATGTTTTACAGGAGCGACCGAAAAGCCAACATCTTCCCCTTCCTTACCTTTCTGCGTCGCAGGAACCGCTGGGCTCCTCCTGCTGCTCGTCCTCCGCTCTCTCTCCTCCGCTGTTTTCACTCAGATGCGTCGCTCGTAAAGGGGCATTCCGCACCTATCCATCTGTCCGAGCAGGAACCGGCGAAGGCAGACTGAGAGGGAAGAAATGAACAATATGATCCCTGTCTCCCCTCCCCTCTTTTACCTCTCGGTTTCCCCTCTTCTTCTCTTATATTTTCATCCCCTCCTTGTGTTTTTTTTTCCTACTGTCCCCTCCCTCTCACTCTCCCTCGTTTGCTCGCTCGCTGCCTCTCCTCCTTTTCCTCCCTGTGCTCTGAATACTAATATTCCGTCTCTCCTCTTTCTGCCTGTACTAAAGACATACTGATGTATGTGGGGCGTGTATAGGAGGAGAGCGAGGCGGTTTGTGAGTGCTGCTGTGTGTGTTTTTTAGTAGGAAATGGTCTCTGGATCTCGTCCTGGATCTTGTTTGGTCCTATTAGAGCTGTGATTAGATAATAATCCTCCTGCAGATGCCCCTGGAGGGGTGATGGTGGGTGTGTTGCAGGTAAAAAATGTTGTGTGGGACGAGAAGAGCAGGATGAGGAGGGGATGGTGGGTCATTGTTTGTTCGGCTGGCAGCCAGAAAAAGACATGGATCTGTGCTTGTTTGTGTCAGTGCTGGTGCGAAACCTCAACGAGACGAGAGGCTGAGGTCTGGTTAAAGAAGACATAGGCTTATTGGAGTCATGATTTGATCATGTTCTCCTGGAGGCCATGAGGAAGCAGAGAGAAGGAACATAAAGACGCTCCTGTGTTTTATGGAAACTGGCTGCTCTGGTGAAGTAAAGCAGATCGGAGAAATGCATCCATCTTTGGTCAAAAAGCCTTCAAAAGTTAAGAATTTCTTGACTTTTGACCTGCCTGAATGAATACAAAATGCAGTTTGGATATGATGATTTATTTATAAGTAGAAAAAATGTTATCCAAAGCAGCACAATCCAGTTCAATCATGATTGCCAAACATTGGAAAGTTGAAGTCTGTAGAAGACCAGGTTGAATTTCTCGCACTGTTTTGTGATGGAATCCAGATATTCTAGTTTATTAGTCATTCCTTAACTTATATTTTAGAAACTGTAGAATACTCACTATTTAGATCAAGCATTAGATTATTTTTTACATTCTTATGCAGAGACTCCTATTATTGCAACCCAGAACAAACTTAGAAAAAAATCTTCCAGAACAGAAACATTTAGTTTTATTACTTAGAAACTGTGGAGTACTTATTACTTTGACAAATTTAGACCACACTTCGAAAGTCCAGAGAATATTTATACTTATCTAACAACCATGAAAAAGAGTATCTAATTTATTTACTTCGGATCATTATTTTACTTCTTTTGCTCTTTCTTTTGTTTGTATCTCCTTTTAATTCCTGTAAAGCCTTATTGCTGAAAATGTGCTATGTAAATAAAATTACTTTTACCTTTTGTATTTACCCAGAATGCCCTGGTTTGTAGTTCACTTCCTGCTTTTGGAGCATTTGAACAGCGGCAGAGTTCATTCAAACTGAACCGGAACTGAGGTTTTTAGGGAAACCAGAGTTTGATTTTTTGGTCAGTTATGAATTCATATCTCCCCAGACGAACGGGATTTAGTATCATTATCATCCTCTTCCTCCCCCCAGCCTTACTCGGTATTAGTCTTCTGGACGACAGATCTCCTAAAGTACAACGTGGATCAAATTAAGGATCTTGCCACATCGCCATATCAATGTTCTCTTATTCAAGTTATGTCTCAACAATGTGTCCCTGCAAAGAGTTCAGCTAAACAAAGTCCATCAAAGTGAACTCTGACGCGGTTCAGATGCAAATGTGAACGCATAACAAACTGGACGCCGCTCCAAAAGCAGGAAGTGGACTAAAGTGCAGGGCATTCTGGGTAAATAAAACCAAAATAAACGCACTAGCTTAGCGCTAGCACAGCTCGTGGTCTTTTACTAAAGACAAAAGAGAAATCCTTCAACTCCTAAAAACTGATGCCACTCCAGTTTTGTTAGCATTTTCTGAATGAGAAAGTTGTGCTCTACGTCTTCTTTAGAGGTTTTTGTGTCGTTTCCTTCATGAGTCTTTGTGCAGCGCCCCCACAGGCAAGGAGGGGAACAGGTTTTTCAAAGGGTCTGGATTCTTCAAAAGACAAATGCAGAAGCTGAAAACAACAAATATTGCAATTTTGTTCCCACTAACAAAATGAAAACACCCGAAGACAGGGTTAAAAATTTATTCTGCTGACAGATTTTGCCAGCGAAAATTTAAAAATTTCCATCTATTACGAGATACTTGATAACTTATTAAAAGATGAAGCAAATAGTAGTAGTGATCTGAGAAAACTCAATGACAAAGAGACTAATAGATGCACATTGCTCACCATGTTGACATAATGGAGCAGCCGGGCGACACGCAGTGAACATCTTGAGGGACAGAGGGTTGAGTTTCCTTACATAACTAAACGTTCGCTTTGTTTCAGCAGAAAGTACAATTTACACTCCATCCTGAGTGATTAAATATATACTTCTACTTTCCTGATATTTTTTCTTCCACAGATGCCAGACTCATGTATTTTTAAAGTGGTCTGGATCAATAGTTCTTCAGGCTTTCTTGAGGCTGTTTTTTCCAGAATTTGGCTGCTTTTAATCTTTTTACCCAACCAATTGTTGTGGCTGATCGTGACAGCATATTGTGTTTTCAGCAGGGGAAAAAGTGAACAAATTGAACAGTGTGCAGGAGGTACAGAGAATTTACAACAATGAAAACATAAATTAATGACTAATTAAAGAAAAGTCAAGGAAAGTGTCAGGTTCAACACTGTTTGGAAGGTGAAATGAAGAAAACATTGGAAAACATTAATAGATGCCTGTGGCCGTGCTTAGAATGTTTTTTGTGCTGATTTTGAAGTACTGAATTTGAAAAGGTTGATGGAAATGCAAAATGTCCAAATAATTGTTCGTTTTCCAAAAACCCTAATGACTTTTCCGCAAAGGAGTCAGAACACTAAAAGGGAAATAATTTGTAATGAAGGAGCAAACTGTCTGCTGGTTCTGTGCCTTACCAGAGGCAGGAAACGTTGAAAGAGAAGAACTCTATTTTTTTTCTGGGATGTGTGATTCGTGCATTTTCAACTTCTACTTATTGTTTATTGCAGTGGGTGGAAACGCATAATTTGCATTTTCTTTTTTCTTCTTTTGCAACGTTTTCTTAAAGCTCAAAATTTGCACTACAATTGGATGGGAACATAGCTACTGATTAAGTCAGTGGATTCCTACTATCCAATCAAAATACATTTTAGTGGATAGTGAATTGTCCCAGTTATTGCGATAAACAATAATATTGTTGTTTTGAGATTTCAGGTGACATATTGATAATGGTATAACAATGCAAGTTCGCCCACTCAGAGACCAATAAGCTTTAATTTTGTAAAGAAAACTGAACACTGGAAATGGAAAGTATTTTAAAAACTAATTAAGAAAGAGTTTTAGTTAGCTTTAACTAACTCTCTTCAACGTCCAGAGGAGGATAAAAGTGCATATATTGTGAGTTACTTTTATTTTCTCAATGGAAAATAAGAAAATGTAAGAGTCCATTTCCATTAAACTCCGTAACAACGGTGTTCTGTTTTTCCCACGACTAGAGAAATAAAACCATGACTGTCATCTCGTATTAGGAGGGAAAAAAGGCTAAAATGGACTTGGCATTTCCAGGGGGGAGCACAAATCTGAGTTTATTCTGTGTGGTTAATTATAATTATGTGGCTCCATCACTGGGCTGGTTGCACTGATGGTAAATCAGGCCTCAGGAGAAACTAGCTGCCTATGCAGCCCGCAGCGAAGGATGATGACTGATAAACGAGAGTAAACACTGACCTCTGCTAGTTGTCACAGCGGAGGAGAGGAGAGGAGAGGAGAGGAGAGGAGAGGAGAGGAGAGGAGAGGAGAGGAGAGGAGAGGAGAGGAGAGGAGAGGAGAGGAGAGGTAAACAAATAGGATTGTTGAGGGGGAGAAACTAAAAGCTCTGCCGGCGGCTGCAGCCACTGTCAAATCAGAAATCAACAAAATTGTTGTAAATCTATTTTTTATGTGGGACAATCCTTTTTTTATGCACACAAGACAGATTGAGGTCTTCATTTCACACATACACACCCTTAAGTACTTAAGACATGAACGTTTAAAGTAGACCAAGAGACGCTGGAGGACAGAAGAGCCAAAGAGAGATTACAAGACTAAAACTATTGGTGTCAACTCAATAGGCTATAATCAGTCCAAATTCAAACATGGCTGCAGTTTAAATAAAGTCCAAAACAGGAAGTTAATGGAAACAAGAAGAATGCTGCCACAGGGAGCACTTTGTGCCAGCGTGGCCGAATGCTTAATGCACTGACCGAAAAATATCGCAAAGCTCAGAGTTTCTGTTTCTTTATGACGACGACAGCAGGGATTTTTAACTGGCCTTATCAAAGAAGACCAAATGATTAATCAAAGATTTTTAAATAATCTTCAACTAGTTCAGTAATTAGTTACTAAACTACTTAATTACAATGGCTTTATCAAAAAATATTAAATAATTAATCAGATTAATCGTCAATTTAAATAATCAGCTAATTTAGTAAACGATTAGTCGCTAACTGGAGTCACATGGTTCAGATTCACTAACACAATGCTACGTTACTGTTTTTTAGGCAATAACATCTTTATTTTCTTATGTTAATTTTTTTGTTAATTTGCATCTTTTAATGTATTTTTGATATTGTTAAAAAAGGTTTAAGTGGTTAAATTAAAAATGTGGCTGTTTTTATCCGATTAATCGTTAGAATAATCAAATATTAAAATAGTTGCAGTGCAAATCAGAAATTTAACCTTTTGATAATAATAACCTGCTTTATCTTTAGGATCCAACTTCAACTACACTGCAAAAAGGAGAATGGCTTAAAAAAAAAACAATTTGTTACATGCAAGTTCATCAAACTTGATTTTCTTACATTTGTTAAACATGGCAATAAACTTCATATATTTACTTGAATGAATGTGATTTATTTGTAACAAAATTAATTTTTTAAGTTGTTTTCTTTTTCCGGTGTACATGTCAAACAAAAACCTTAATTATTTCGGTTGGATAAAGTTAATATGATAAAGTTATTGTCATGATAAGAATTGTGATTCACATTTTCTCACAATAATTTACAAATAAATATGTTTAAAACTTCTCAAAATTATTAGTTTTCTCCACTATTTTTTATTGAAAATGGTGGAGAAAGTATCAATAAATTTGAAAACGATTAAATTGAGTCACGGTGACCAGTTTAGTGATATAAATAATACTTTTTTATGTGACTGGTGTTCATTGCAAATGGTTTTCAAGAACAGTATTTGTGCTTGTGTGGCTGTGATTTCCAGTTAGTCCTTATCCTCATTTTTACCTTTATCACAATATTACCACAAAATATCATGACAAAACTTAAAGTCCAGTTGTTATGTTAGAGAATTACTCCTGATTTTCTAAAAACATGTGTTTCACAGATATATAATTTTAGATATTAAAATAAAA